TCCCAATAAAACTCTCATCTTATATCTGTTTTGGATCATTTAGAAAAAAAAAGAAAATGACCAGAATTCTTAAGCTGATCTTGTAATCAAGAAAGGGGGCTCTTGAAATAAAAGGATAAATCTTTACTGGTTACACAAAGGGAATCATTCTTCAGGCTGGCACACAGGAACAATTATCAGGATGGTTATGCTCTTGTGAGAATGGCATTTCCTTATGGCTCTTTAAATGTTATTGCCCTTCATACTGTGACTATTAGTCATTGTGAGCTGATATGGCTAGAACCTATAGACTTTCTTGTGAGGCTGCTATGCATTAGCTGATTGATTCAGATCACTCAAAGAAATGTTATAAGATAAAACCGCTGTGTTTGAAAGGGGAAATGAGATGGCTGTAGTGTAAAGGAAATCATGAGACACTCTTGAAAATGAAAACATTTCCATCCTTGTGGTTGGTTGCTTGGTAACTAACATTCTAGCCATGTGTAAAATGTTGTTGCAATTAGATTTCATTAAGCCCAGAGGCTCTGGGATGACAGTCAATTACATTGCATTTGCCAGAAAACATTTCTTAAGGGACAAGGTAAACAGAGGTTAAATGACTTGCCTGGAATCATACAGCTAATAGGTATCTGAGGCAAGATTTGAACTTGGGTCTTTCTGACAGAAAGTCCAGTTGTCCACTATGCCACCTGACTGCCCTTTATACAAACAAAAATAAGTACCACCTAGTAATGAACACAAAAACCAAATCTACAAATTGGCCATATATAAAAATGTATATTTCGGATTCAATGCCTCTGGTATGTCATTTCTCCTGCTTCAAGATGAGAAGTATGGTCCATTATCAGACTTCCAGAGTTCTAATTGGTCATTATGTTTATCATAGTTCTTAAACTTTCACAGTTGCTTTTCTTTATGATGTTAGAGTCATTGTATAATCATCCTCCTAGTTCTGCTCTCTTCATTTTGCATCATTTTATACAAATCCTCCAAGGTTTCTCTGAGCTGGTCCCTGTTGTCATTTCTTTTGGTATAATAATATTCCATTACATTTGTATACCATAATTGTTCAACAGTTCCCCAAATGATAGGCACTCACTTTGCCTCAATTTCTTTACCATAACAAGTGATGCTATACATATCTTTTGTGCATATGATTCTTTCCCTCTGTCTTTGATTTCTTTGCAATATGTGCATAGTAGTGTCACTGAATAAAGGCGTATTCAGTTTTAGTGACATTTTAGGTATAATTCCATATTGACCTCAGGATGGTTATATGACTTCACAATTGCACCAACAGTACATTAATGTGTCTCTACTCACACTAATATTATTAATGGAACTAGGAACTGGTCCAACCATTCTGGAAAGCCATTTGGAACTACACTAAGAAAATGACTGAAATGTCCATACCCTTGATCTTAATATGTCATGCTAGGCATATACCTCAAGTAGACCAAAGAAAGAAAACAAAGTTTTGTGTACACCAAAATATAGCAGCATTTTTTGTAGTATCAAATAAGTGGATGCTCATTAAAAAGGGAACGACTGGACAAATTGTAGTAAGTTAATGAAATAAAATATTACTATTCTATAAGAGATGATGAATACAAAGAGTACAAAGAAATATGGAAAGACTTATGTGAACTGAGACAGAGCTAAGTAAGCAGAACCAGGAAAATTGACAACGACTTCAACAATATAAATGGAAAGAATGACCATAAGATGGAAACTGAATACTTTGTAATTATGAAGAACAAACATGACTGTGAAAAAGAGTTGGGAGAATGTACCTTTCTTCCTTCTTTGCAGAGATGGGAGACTATGGAAGTAGTCCACTGTACATAATGTCAGAATTGGTTGATACGTTGGTGAGTTTTGCTGAACTGTTTTTCCTCCTCTTCTCTTTTTCTTTGTTTTCCCTGGTTTGGGGAGAGGGAAAAGATATATTGAGAAATGAAACTGGAATAAAAACAAAGGACCAATAACATTTTAAAAAATAATTCAGTAGACAAAAAGGGAAAGGAGACACTGAAAATGAATTGATCAGACACCAATTTAAGAAAACTTAGAAGGCTGGGAAGAAGATGGAATGGGGAAGAAGAGTAGTCCATTTTATAGATGGAGAGTAATTTAAGACTAGAAAGGTAGGTTATTGCTAAATTGCGGGCAGCCTTGAATATCAGGCAGAGGAGTTTTAGTATTACTCTGTGGACAACATGAAGACACTGGAGAGTTGACATTGTGGAAACAAGCAAAAGTGTTAATGGGTCATCAGTACCCGTGGAACATAATTGAAGGACTCTCCAAACAGTTGCCAGCAACTAGTGGGGTGAGGGACGACAGATAAATGCCCTCGAATAGCCACAAATATCTTCAAAGTAGTAGAACCTAGACACACAGCCTTAAGCACTAGCACCCTCTTCAATCCCACCTCCTCTTCTGGCTTCTTTCTTAATTACCTTGACTTCTCCCTGAAATTGATGTTGTGGGGAAGCTTTTCAAATCATACTTTGAGGTTGCTCTGGTTGACCTGGCAAAGGCCTCATGGATGGGCAGTTCCTGGTCTATGTACCAGCAAAAAGAGATGGATCTGATGGTTGCCCAGGGCAACCAGTAACACCTCCTTGAGAAAGTTCTTCTTGCCCTGTTCCTTCTTCCTTCTTGGTGTCACTCTGGATGGCTGTCTGTACAAAGGAACTGTCTACTAGGGAAAGTCTTTACTAGAAATGCCAGGTGCCAATCTGGGAGCTGAAAGATTCCCATGGTCCCACTTTCTCTTATTGGCATACACCAGTGGGTAAGCTCTGCTCTGTATGGGAGAGGGCCCCAGTCAGTAGGTGGGAGATTGCTCCTTCCAACCTCTTCTTTGCAGAGGCTGAACAGGGAACTAGAGTCTCCATAAATATCATCTTCATCTTCCACTATGGGGCTGGTCTCAGGTCCAAGACCTTCAGCCTCCAGACCTCCTAGTTCTCCCCAGGGGCCCAGCTGAACATCCCACTTGATACCCCAGTACACAAAGAGTGCAATCACCTTTGACTGGTGATGCAAAGGGGGTTTGTGAAGAGCCTGGCAATGGTTCTTGCCCCAGTAGGAATTACTTTTCAGATGGAATATAGTCACATGACCCTCAGCACTCAAGATGACCACATAAGGATCATTGATGGCACATTGCACCTTGGGAGAGCCTAGGTCCACAGGAATTAATTTCAGCTAGTTCAGCTAGCAAATGAATGCTGAGGGGTGACACCTTGACAACATAGTGATTGCCACGAATGTTACCAGCACAGACAATGGGCAAAGCCACTTGTATCCAACTCCATGATCTCCTAACTTGTCTATAGGATCATGGTAGAGTCCTCCCAACTGAGAATGAGAAAGCCATGTTTCTTCCCATATTCTGTTTCTGGGAGCTCCTCCTTGGTAGTCTCATCCTCTTCCTTGCACAAGGGTGTGATGACTGTCCATGTGCCATAACAGCTGTGCAGCTCAAGGATTGTCACCACCTAGGGCCAAACGCTCTTTTGAAGCACAGACAATGCTCCATTCCAAACAAGATGAGGAGAATGGGCTTAACAGTACTCGTGAACATAGAACTGCAGATCAGTGATGCTCAGGAGCTTCTCACTCAAGGTCTGAACATCAATAATGTAGCTTGGCAGGGAACTTGACTTCTGCCCTTCCCCTACAGCCCCTCATGCTCCTCTGCCAGGCTCCCCCAGGCAGCACTGCAAGCCATATTCCATAGATCAGCACGACTGACAGCACCCATCAGGGTCTATTTACACCTAAGGTGTGTGTGCAGTCTGGCCGATGCCATCCCACAGCTCAGGCTCCTCAAAGTAATGTAGTGAGAGTGTCTTTAGGTCCTGGGTCCTGGGGTCATACACTATCACTGACAGCTTGGCATCTTTGAAACTGAGAAACAGTGCATCTCTTTTGGTTCAGGAAAGGTACATATTGGCCATTAAAAAAAAAAAGGGAAGCCATCAGTTTCAGCTTTTCTTTGTGTAACTTTCCTTCTGAGTTCCATCGCTCTTGGCTGAAGTCTCAGCATCATGGCTGAGCCGTTCATTATACTATACCTGAGAGGTCACAGCCACCATAAGCTTGCGTTCAACATTGCTGAAGAAATTGCAATACGTTGAAAACTCCAGCCCCCTCGGGGGTAGGGGTGGGGGAGGGTCAGCCTGCTTTTACACAGCAAACATGGTGGTGCCAGGCGGAGGGAGCCTCACAGCCTGTGCCGCGCACCGCCTGCGCTGCCTGCTCACAGGGCCTCCCTCCCCGAGGGCTTCAATAAGGAACTCTAGGACCCAGGGGATGAACTGTTGTATTTATTTGACCAGCGCTGGCATGACTATTTAAGGACTCTCAGAGCAGGCTGGTCAGAGGCTGTGGAGGGAAATAAAGTTCACAATCCCCGTGCTTCCTCTTGGTCCAGCTAAATCCTGGAAGGGTTTCTGATGCCTAGAGTTGGAGGTGAGCCCAGAGGTGCGAATGTGAACCTTTAAAAAAAAAAAAAAAGAAGCATGGGGAACACCACCAGGAGGGGGACACCTGAATCCCCGCCCCCTGCATTCCCTCACCCCCCTTCCTCTCAAGGCTGCCACCTGTCAGCAGCTCTCAGATCTTCCTCAGCAGCGCTAGGTCAGGCTCACAACAAACCAACTAACACTTTCTTGGAAATGAGCCCAAGCAGGTCTGAGTAGGGGCCAAGGCCGGCGCGCCGCAGCTGCCCTCTCTCCCCGCCCACTTCTTCCACCCGAGGGACTGGGCAGCCAAGCTGCGGCAAACAGGCCGGGTGGCCAAGGCCGGGGTGTCTGCCTCCACCAGGCAGGCGGCAGCTGTTCTCACCCCGGGCAGCCTTTTCTCTCGGGCTCCGCTGCAGGGGTGGGATCGGCGTCGCGGCGGCCGGGGCTGGCAGGGAGCAGGAGCCCGCAGAGGGGGAGCAGCACGGAAGGAGCGATGGCCCTATCGGGCATTTGTCATCCGCCTCTCCCGCCCGCGGCTGGCGCACACAGATAACCAGCGCAGGCTGGCGGGCGGGCCCGGGGGTGGCAGCCGTGGTGGCCCGGAGATGAAATTCCCCGGCTCCGTCCTGGTGTCCGTGTTCCTCTTCGTGGCCGAGACCGTGACCGCTCTGTACCTGAGCAGCACCTACAACTCGGCCGGGGACCGCATCTGGCTGTCCCTGACCCTGCTCTTCTCGCTGCTGCCCTGCGCGCTCGTGCAGTTCACGCTCATCTTCATCCACCGAGACCTGAAAAGGGACCGGCCGCTGGTGCTGCTGCTGCACATGCTGCAGCTGGGCCCCCTGATCAGGTGGGTGGTAGCCTGGGGCACGGGGCGCGGGCGGGCAGGGGGCCAGTCTCGGCCTTGGTTTACTCTCCTCTGCCCAAACTCGGAGCACTTTCGTTTTTTTTTTTCATCCTCTCCTCCTGGCGCTCTTCCCTTCCAGCCATATCTATTGCTTCAAGCCGACACAGGGGAGGTGGCCCCCCCGCGGCCTACTGGAGATGGAGGCCGCCCTCCATGGGGGTGGGAAAGAGAGGGACGGAGCTCCCGATGTATTGATATTGGATCTAGATGCATGGACTACAATGTAAGGTTATTGGCGGTGGAAAAGATCCCCATCTGCCTGTCACTCTCTATTCCCATCTTGCTGTTGTCGCCAAGAATGTAGACAGATTGTAGGATTTGAGCTACCAAATAAGTAGACTCGATTTTATTCTACAGTAATATCATTCGTTGTCAGGATTTTAATTGTGCCATGTATGCAAACTCTTGGAAAAGAAGGCATGCCACACCCTTCCCAAGTCTGTGTAAATAGAAAACTAAATATATACATCATTCTTACAGGTTGTGTTTTTTCCCCCAATATTTTGCATCTTGAGTTCCCATGCAAAGGACTGTATTTGTAAGTAGTGTGTTGTTGGAATGACTTTCCTGTCTTTCTTGGACTTGTGGGCATGTACAATTAAAGCTCCTGTACCAATAACAAAACAAAAGCACCTGCTATTCGGTATTCTTTTGGAGCATTTGTTCAGATTGTTATCAAAACCGTCCCTTGTTTATCTATCACTGTCAAACCCAAACACTTAATATTCTATAAATGAGGGGAAATTTCACTTTATTTTTACTTGAAAGGCTTGGAGAAGAATAATGTTTATGGATAGCGAAACAAAAAGTGCCCACCTGTGTCATAACCATGGAAAGTATAAAACAAAACTCAGAATGTTAACAGACCAAGAGTTCTTAGCATTGGATCTGTAAACTTTTAAAAAATTGTTAACTTATTTTCCTTTATGATCCTATTAATTGTATTTTATGCATTTAAAACATTATTTTAGTAAGGAATCTATAGGCTTCACCAGGCTTCCAAAGGGGTCCATGACAAAAAAAAAAGCACATGAACCCTTGTAATAGACAAATAATTTTAAAAAGAAAAGAAAGAGGGGGAAACTCCAGGCCAGAAGTGGGGAATCTGAGGCTTGGAGGCCACATGTGGCCCTCTAGGCTCTCAACTTCAGCTGTTTGAATCCAAACTTCACAAAATAAATCCCCTTAATAAAAGCATTTGTTCTGTAAAACTTGGACTAGATCAAAAGGCTGCACCCAAGAACCTAGAAGGCCACATGTGGCCTCGAGGCCACTGATTCCCCACCCCTGCTCTAAGCAAATGTCTCATCAATCCATATTCAGCCAGAATCAGCCATCTCCATGGCTTTGTAGAAAGAGTCTGGGACCAGAATCTGATGACCTGCTCCTCTATTATACTGCCTGTGAGGCTCTGACACAGTTTGTGCCATAGTTTTTTTATGTAGAAAATGAAGGGGTTCAACTTGGTCTTTATCTCTAAGGTCCTACACTAATCCCGAACCGGCAGCAGTTTTACTCATCTAACATGAAGTTGAGGAGCTGGAAGAAAGCAAAAAACAAAACAAAACAAAACAACACCCCAAAACAAAACAAAAATAAACAAACCTCTTGGCAACTAAAATAGAATACAGGAGCATAGATTTAGACACAGAAGAGAAGTTGGAGTTCATTGAGTCCGAATCTCTCACTTTACAGATGAAGAAATTGAGTCCCAGAGAGGTTAAGTGAATTGACATGGTCCCACAGGTAGCAAGTGACAGGACTGGAATCCAGAACCTACGACTCTAAATCTATTGGTCTATTCCTTGGATCACAGTCTTTCTCAGCTTCTCAGCCATTGTATTTTACTGAAAGGGGAGTGCAACTTGGTACATGCTTCAAGCCTTTTGCTTTCACTCTACAGATAATTATAACAAATTTGAATTCCAAGCTCACAACATATTAGAAAAACCAAATAAGAAGTGGGAAGAGGAGCTAGTGTGAGTGAGGACTGCTGCCACAACTAATAAACAACTTCCTGAGAATGGAGTGGAAGACAAACAAACAGCAAACATTAAACATAGACAAGCAGTAGTAAAACCAAAAAGCAACCAGAGGGCTGTAGCCATGTAGTAGTGAGATATACACTCCTGCATACCTCAAAAGCAAGTACAATAAACAGCATTCGTGTATATATGCCACTAGGCATCAAGGAAAGTTTAGATTATTTTCAGTATCCTTTGTTTCAGAAGACAGGGAAGTGTAGTGTTGACTGGAGTGGTCAGTGACTTGAGGCAGGGATGCTAGTATAATCGTTCTGAAACTTTTTGAGGTAGTGGGGGAAGTTTGAAAATGTCTAATTAATAATATTCTACTACTGGCTGGTACACAAACACACACAAAACACACAATATACAGGTACAAATACACACGTACATTTAGATTTCGCATGTACAGAGTGTCCCTAAAACTTTGCCGAGACTTTTGGATACCCTGTATTGTGCTTTAAACTTTAAAAATAATGCAGGTGATTAAAAAAAAATTATGTCAGTTTTAACTCAAATCTAACAATATTATAAATAGGTTACTTAGAAAAAAGAGTGTATATTTATCATCAGTAAGGGCTTTTTAGTAACAATATTAGACACTGCAGCTCACTTTGTAAAGAGCTTCAAAGTTATGTTCCTTCTGTCCTTTATGTGAGCCAGTATTTTGAGGAATTTTTTCAGTTAATGATATTTTTGTTTGAAAATTCTAAAATTGTTTTAAAGCTTTCTCTTCTATTTCTTTTTATTGGCTGATTCATTTGTTTATAACATTCTTTCAAAAAATTGAGTTCTGACTTTTGTTTTTCCTTCCTACTCCTCTACCACCCATTGCAAAGGCAAGGTATGTGATATCAATTATATATGTGAAATCATGCAAAACATATTTCCATATTAGCCATGTAGCAAGAAAGCAGGAAAAATAAAGAAAGTTTAAAAAATTATGTTTCAATTTGCATTCATGCTCCATCAGTTCTTTCTCTGGAAGAGGATAGCATTTTTGATCATATCATACAGAATTGTCTTGCATCATTGTATTGCTCAGAATAGCTAAGTCATTCATAGTTGATTCAGTATTGCTGTTACTGTGTACAATGTTCTCCTGGTTTTGCTCACTTCACTTTGTATCAGTTCTTATAAGTGATCCCAGGTATTTCTGAGACCATCCTGTTTGTCATTTTTTGTAGCACAATAGTGTTCCATCACAGGGGCAGCTAGATGGTACAGTGGATAGAGTTCAGGGCCTGAAGTCAGGAAGACCTATCTTCCTGGCCCTATACAAGTCCCTTAACTGGGTTTGCCCAGGTCCTCATCTATAAAATGAGCTGGAGAAGGAAATGACAAACCACTCCAGTATCTTTGTCAAGAAAACTCCAAATGGGGTCACAAAGAGTCAGATACGACTGAAATGACTGAACAACAACAAAAATTCCATCACAATCATATACCACAATTTGCTCATCCATTCTCCAACTGATGGGCATCCCCTCAATTTCCAATTCTTTGCCACCACAAAAAGTGCTGCTATAAATATTTTTATGCATATAGGTCCTTTTCCTTTTTCTTTGATCTCTGTGGGATACAGACCTAGCAGTGGTATTGCTGAATCAAGGGGTATGCATGGTTTTATAGTTCTTTGGGTATAGTTCCAAATATGCTCCAGGATGATTGTACCATTTATATCACCAACAGTGCATTAGTGTCCCAATTTTTCCACCTCTCCTCCAACATTTGCTATTTTCCTTTTCTGTTATATTGGTCAATCTGATAGATGTGACCCCAGAGTCATTTTAATTTGCATTTCTCTAATCAATAGTGATTTAGAGCATTTTTATATGTGTATAGATAGATTTGAATCCTTCATCTGAAAACTGCCTGTTCATATACTTTGGTCATTTATCAGTTGTAGAATGACTCATATTCTTATAAATTTGACTCACTTCTTTATATATTTGAGCAATGAGGCCTTTATCAGACAAACTTGCTATAAAATCCCCCCCCTTTTCTATTTTTCTTCTAATCTTAGCTGCATTGGTTTTGTTTGTGCAAAAGCTTTTTCAATTTGATGTAATAAAAATTATCCCTTTTACATCCTGTAATGCCCTCTATTTCTTGTTTGGTCATAAATTCTTCCCTTATCCATAGAAACTATCCTATGCTCCCCTACTTAGCTTATGCTGTCACTCTTTATGGCTAAATCATGTACCTATTTTGATCATATTTTGGTATGTGGTGTGAGTGTTGGTCTATACCTAGTTTCTGCCAGACTGCTTTCCAGAGGGCAGCTAGGTGGCACACTGGCTAGAGCACCAGCCCTGGATTCAGGAGGACCTGAGTTCAAATGCGACCTCAGACACAGAACACTGACTGGCAGTGTGACCCTGGGCAAGTCACTTAACCCCCATTTCCCAACCAAAAAACAAAACAAAAAAAACAAACTGCTTTCCAGTTACCCCAGAAATATTTATCAAATAGTGATTCTTGTATCAAAAGCTTGGATTTTGAGGTTTATCAAATACTAGATTACTGTAGTCATATACTACTGTATATTATATACCTAATCTGTTCCACTGATCTACCATTCTGTTTCTTAGCTAGTGCCAGACTGTTTTGATGATTATTGCTTTGAAATACAGTTTGAGATCTGGTACTCCTAGGCCACTTTCCTTCACATTTTGTTTTCATTGATTCACTTGATATTTTTAACTTTTTGTTATTCCAGATGAATTTTGTTATTATTTTCCTAGCTCTATAAAATTATTTTTTTGGTAGTTTGATTGATATGGAACTGAATAAGTAAATTAATTCGGGTAGAATTGTCATTTTAATTGTATTGGCTCAATCTACCCATGAGCAATTAATATTTCTTTAATTGTTTAGATCTGACTTTATTTGTGTGAAAAGTGTTTTGTAATTATG